AAATTACTTTTTACAGAATAAACAAACATGATTTCCTAGGAAAGAGAACGTGTTGGTCGTAATTTCTATAAAGAAAAATGTTTCACCCAGGGAGAGGGCTACCTGGACATACTTTTTCCTCAGACCCCCTCACACCTGATGCCTTCTGTTACCTGCATGAGACTCCCAAGGCCGCCGCCTCTGATCGCTGTTTTCACTGTGGTGTCGAGGTGGATTAGTTCATGACTGTTCACCCTGTTCTAACCAGGGGAGCACCTCAGGTTTGCTCATCTGATGGCTTCCTTCCTGGAAAATTGTGAAATCTCAGCAGATTTGTCTTAGTTTTGGGAACATCAGGTTCCAAGCACCACAGGCCCTCCACAGGTTTCATCTTGGAGATGAAAAGCCACGCCTTGAGTGGTCCTCACCAGGGGACGCCAGGGTTCTATAGTTCTCCAGCATCACGTCCCGGTACAGGGCCTTCTGAGCTGGGTCCACAAGCTCCCACTCGTCCCATGTGAACTTCCCGAGCCACATCACTGAGCATCAGTGATTCTTGTGTAGTAAGATCTTCTTCAATCACACCTTTTCCTTTTCGAATATCTATGAAATGTGAGGGAAACAGTTTCACTCGTTTCCTGAAATGTGCACTGCTGCATCTACATAACTAACTTTATTTTCAGATATCTTAGAGAAAACAGAAGATCTTTATACAGATCTGGGGAGAAGCCCTGTAATTGCAGGGAGTGTGGAAAAGGTTTTACATTGTCTGTGTGTTCGCGGAGATAAGACCAGTGAGAAGAAACGTGGGTTTTCAGAGGGTCACCACTCTCTCAGGCAAATCACACCGAGAGATGGGAAAGCCTGTGCTTTTATTAGCAGAAAATCAAAGCTTACAGCAAAACATGATCTCATGGGGTAGGTGAATGTTTAACAAATCATTGGTAATATGAAACAAAGCATAGACAGGCATGAACAATTTTCAAGAAAGCATCTTTGTACTCATGAACAAGATCTTATTAAGCACCTTATCAAGAACTTTTTAGAAAATAGTCTGTGTCTAACAGAACTTTCCGATGCCTTTCAGGTTGGTATATGCCCCAGGGGTTATGTAACTACTCTCAGTCCCATCTGTTCTTGGTACTGTTTGCCGGCTCTCAGGCATTGTAGCCAAGTCCTTTCACATGTATTCCACAGCCACTATTACCATAGCCATTATTAACCCTGTGTGTTCCAGAAGGAGTCTATAGTTTTATCAGGAAGCATTATCTAACTCTCCACCAGCAAATTCACACTGGGCCAAATCCTTGTAAAAGTCTGTGTGGGAAAAGTGTCATCCCGAAGACAGTTCTATCAGCAAACTCTTAGACAGGGAAAGCCTATTATGTGATGAATGTGGCAACGGTGTCACCCAGAAGACAAATTTTATACCAGGTAATGCATACTGAGGACTCTCCTTTATAGGGTTGCTGTGATTTGCCTGCGACTTGACAGCACTTAACAACAACAACAACGTGCACTGACAAGAAGTCTTATGTTTGCAGGGCATATAGAAAGGACTTCAAGTGGAACAATGACATCACTTCCCATCAGAAAACCTACTCTGGAGAGAAACCCCATCACCACGTCAAACTTCCTCATCACACAGATGATTTTACACAGAGAAGACTTCCTTTCACGTAGTGAAAGTGGAAAACCTGATGCCCCCCAGTCATGAATCTCAAAAGGCAACTGAAACATTCTGGGAGGAAAATCCTTTCAGTGCAGTGACTGTCAGATCACCTCCAAGATGCAGCAAGAGCTCACTGTCCAGGAAAGATCTCAGAAGCACGAGACAAAAGGAAGCTGCCAGCAGCGTGAACTGGCTTTTCCTCCGCTTTTCACTTTCATTCACACCAGGGAAAACATAAAAGAAACAAACAGGCATCAATTTCTTCAGGTGGGAAATCTTCAGGAGCTTTTTCGCCTGGTGGGTCAAACCCACCCTTGGCTCTTCCTGGGCAATTTGTAACATTTCCAGCCTGGGAAATCCAATGGAGTCAGCTGTAATTTGGAATCAATCACAGTACTGACAGTGCTTTGAATTGGAGTACAATACTGTAGTTGTTATGTGTCAAGTCGCTTGAGAGAGCCCTGAAACCTGCTCCATCCTGAGACAGCATTATTATCTCCAGCACAACTAACCTCATTCCCTCAGTCAAGCCATCTCATTGAGGGTCTCCCTCTTTTACTCCAACCTTCCACCCTTCAAGCATGATGTCCCTCTCCAAAGACTGGTCCCTCCTTGAAACATGCCTAAAATATGTCAGACAAAGCCTCAGAAACCTTGCCTCCAAGGAGCAGCCTGGCTTCAAAGGAATCTGTACTCCTGGCAGTTCATGGTATATTCAAAACTCGTCTCTCCAGCACCACAGCCCAAAGGCATCAATTATCTACCATTCCTAATCATTGTCCAGCTATCATACAGCGGCCTACTGAAAATACTATGGCCTGGATCAGGCGCACATCGAAGTTTAAAAGGATGACACACGGACTGTATTTTGGGCTGACCCTCGTCATCTTACAGTTCACATTCCATATTAAGCCCCCGAAGTATCGATTCCTAACTGTGTCTGTGTTAATGACTGTTGACTGAGCCTAAGAAGAGAGGAAAAGCAGCTGAGAACGGAGTTCCCTCCAGGGGAGAATTCTGAAGACACCCCGGGTTCCCCTGAGCCAGTGCCTCTCAGGCCAGTCTCCTGTCTGTGTCCCCAGGTGTCAAGGCCTCAGCGGAGCTTCTTGAGAAATACATACTAACAAGAGCCTCAAACGCTGACCTTGTGCCTCTCTGGCTAGTTCCCTTTCTCCTATGCCCGAGGCTGGCCTGAGCCAGACACTTTGGATACAATCCCATCCCTTCACATTTCTGTCCTTAAAGCCTCTGCCTTTCCAGTGTTTTTCACTCAAATCTTATTTGTGGTTGATGGTTACTGGCTTCCCCCTTTTTATTCTTCCAAGGAATTCTGTCTCTGCTCTGTTAATGATTAAGATATAGAAATCCACTTACCCATTTTCAAAATTAATCATCTAGCTCCCGCCTTTTCAGGGAGCTCTGGTGGCCAAGTGGTAAGAACTAGGGCTGAAATTCCAAAGTTAAACAGTTTGAACCTCCCAGATTCTCCGCAGGATGAGGAAGACGGATCTCTTCCTGTGTTTCCAGCCTCTCAAAACCAGCAGAGGATCAAGGATGAGTTGATTTTGACTAGACAGCCAACATTAAGGCTCCTTTCCAGCTGAATTCCTTAAGTTCTGAAGAGCCTATTATGTGGTGAAAGTTTCCACCCAGAAGACAAACTTATGTTATAGCAGGTAATGCAAGCAGAGGAGAAACTCTATGTATGCAAAGCGCATGGTAAAGGCTTCATCTGGACCAATGACCTCACTATCTGTCAGCAAAGACACGCTGGGAGAGAAAGCCCGTCATCAAGAGTCAAACTTCATGCTAATCAGGTTTCACACAGGGCAGACTGCTGTCACGTAATGTTTGTGGAAAACCTGATACCTAGCAGTGAAATCTCAGCAGGTATGAAAACATTCTCGGGAAAAAAGCTTTTCAGTGCAGTGAATGTCAGATCACCTCCAAGAAGAGTTCACTGACCCTGAAAGATCTCATGAGACAGCTGCCAGCAATGTGGACAGGCTTTTAGCTTTCGTTTCTATCAGAGAAAACAAAAAGGCCCGGTGGAGATTTCTTCGGATTGTGGAAAAGGCTTCGTCTGAAACAATGACCTCCCTTTCCAACAGTAAACTCACTCTATAGAGAAACTATCAGCAAGAGTCAAACTTCGTATCACTCAGGCGAATTCAGTGTGAATACATTCTTTCATGTGGTCAGTGTGGAAAACCTGACCCCAGAAGTCACAAATCTCAGCAGGTTGAGAAAACATTCGGGGGGAAAAAGCCTTTCATTCAATAGACATTATTCTATTCAACTTACTGCTGCAGAGTCCAAGGTAGCTCATCGCAGCTGACACTCCTGTGAGTTTCCTGTAAATCCAATGGGAAGAGATCGCTCATCCTCTCCTTCCATGTACCTGGTGGCTTCAGACTGTGGAGAGGAACCTCCAGGCTAGTAGCACAGCCTCCCACGGACTCACACTGAAGAGAAACAAATCCTGCATGTGCTGAGTCTGGAAAAGGTTCTATCACAGAGCACTCACTCAGTATCTACCATCAAATTTACATTGGGGAGAAACCCTATACACGTGACAAATGTGGGAAAGGTTTCGGCTGGAAGACTGAACTCACTGTTCACCAGTGAACCCATAGTGGGGAGGAGGCCCCTAAGAGCAGGGAGAGTGCAAGAGGTTTTATCAGGAAACCTCATGTTCCATCAGCTAATTCACACACGGCCAAATCCCTATGAAGGTTTGAGTGGTAAAGGTTTCATCCCAAAGACAGTTCTATTCATCAGGCAAATCACACGTGGGGAGAGCCTATTACGTGATGAATGTGGTAAAGGTTTCATGCAGAAGACAAATCTTACATTCCAGCAGGCACTTCAAGCTGACTGGAAGTCTGATGTATGCAGGGCACGTGGAAAAGGCTTCATCTGATCAATGACCTCGGCTGGCATCACCAAAATCACTCTGGAGAGAAACCCTATGAAAAAGAGCCAAACCTCAGAGCACACAAACCATTTCACACAGGGAAGACTTCCTGTTCACAGAGTGAATGTGTAAATACTGACATCCAGAAGTCAAATCTCAGCAGGCAGTGGAAACATGCTGGGGGAAAAGCCTTTCAGTGCAGTGACTGTCACATCACCTTCAAGACGAACAGGTCATTGTCCTTCAAAGATAACAAAATACAGCTGTCAGCAATGTGGACAGCTGTTAGCTCCTATTTATATCAGAAAAACTCAAAAAGAGAAATGATTTATATTTCTTCAGAATGTGGAAAACGCTTCATTTGAACAATGATCTCAGGGTCCATCCGCAAACTCATGCTGGACAGAAACCATATCAAGAGTCAAATGTCACACCATGCAGACGATCACACAGGGAAGACTTCCTTTGCACGTACTTAACATGGAAAACCTGATGTCCCACGGTCAAACTCCGTAGATATTGGAAACATTCTGGGGGAAAAGCCTTTCAGTGCAGTGAATGTCAGATCACCTTCAAGAACAAAAAGTCACTGTCCAGGAAAGATCTCAGAAGCGTGAGACAAAACAGAGCTGCCGGCAATGTGCACAGGCTATTAGCTTTCATTCACATCAGAGAAAACACAACAAGCAATGGTGTAGATTTCTTCAGATTGTGCGAAAGGCTTCATCTTGAACAGTGATCTCTCTTTACATCAGCAAACTCACTCTGCAGAGCAAACCCATCAAGAATAATAAAATTTCATACCACACATGATTTCTCAGAGCAAAGACTTCCTTTTCACGCAGTGAATGTGGGAAACCCAGTGCCCAGCAGGCTTCCTCAGCAGACAGCAGAAACATTCTGTGGGAAAAGCCTTCCAGTGCAGTGAATGTGGGAAACCCAGTGCCCAGCAGGCTTCCTCAGCAGGCAGCAGAAACATTCTGTGGGAAAAGCCTTCCAGTGCAGTGAATGTGGGAAACCCGGTGCCCAGCAGGCTTCCTCAGCAGGCAGCAGAAACATTCTGTGGGAAAAGCCTTCCAGTGCAGTGAATGTCAGATCACCTTCAACTGGAGCAAGAGTTCACTGTCCAGGAAAGATCTCATGAGACAAAAGAAATCTGCCAGCAACGTGGGCAGGCTTTTCCTTGGCTTTTCAACATCATTCACATCAGCGAAAACACAAGAGACAAACGTGTCTAGATTCCTTCCAGTGGAAACCCATCCACAGGGAGTCTCATCTCACCACACAGCAGTTGTAGCCCTGCAGGAGAAAAGTCCCGTTAATACAGTGACTGTGCAGACGCCTTCCGACACAGCTGCCACCTCAGTAAACACCGGTGGGTGATTAACAGGGACAGATCCAAGGGGGACATCCTGTGGGCAGGTGAGGAACCTTGTGGAGGTAACAGCATTTACACCGCAGATGAATTTACATTTATGAATGAAGTGTCTGGCAGTGCCTTCAGTGTCCAATGGTGACACTGGAAAAGCCTGGTGGCCTTATGCTTTGTAATCAGTTCTACTACCAAGAAATGAGGTGATGTCATGAGAAACACATGCCCTCAATTGCTCTATCACCAATAAAATGGGTGAAAATCTAAGGAATTATGTACAGAAAATATTAAACTTTGTAGGAATTAGATTAGGAAATAGCACATGCTAAAAAATAGAAAATTGAAAATTCATATTAAGTACTCTGAATTCTTAAAAAGATCACTGATCACTAGAATAGTACTTGATATGTAAAACCACACTGAGATGCTTTACACAATAGAAAAAAAATACAGAATTGAAAGTGTGTGAGGTAGTCTTGCAGTCTACGATCCACTGAATGGTTTATAACAAGGGAAACAGAAAAATGTATATAAATGTATTTGCCCTTTAATTCATACTCTTTACAGCGGTGGAAAGGAGACAGTACCACACTTTGCAAAAAAGGCAATTTATGAGATCGTTTTTCTTTTGGTTAAGGAAACAAAGAAGTGGAATTTGGACTATAGGGGTCTCCCGTTAGTCATAAATGTACCTTGATGTCAAGGGCTGTCATGCACTGAGTCAAGGGATTCCCTATTTCTCGCTGTGTAGATTTTGAAAGCATTTATTTAACCACTGCATCACCCAGAATTCTCTCTGGTATCTACTGACTACACCAGGATGCATGGAGACACAGTGTTTGACGCTCTCAGCTATTAAGTAATTGTAACCCCCCAGTTCCTTCCTCTTTAGATGTGGGAGTTGGCGGCAGTCAAGATTAGAGCTTCTGCACCATTTCTCCTCCTGCCCTCTAAGTCTCTATGAGCCTGAATCCGTTCAATAACGAGAAGTCTGAGCACTTTTTAGTTCATTAAAAAACATTTTGGCTTCTGTAGGCAGATACACACACATGCCAGATCCCCTGCTCTTTGGCAAACTGGGCACATATTACCTCCGAAGCTGTCCTGGGAAGGTCACTGTGCTCCTGGTAGATTCTTGGTTCTTGCTGACAGCCCTTGGGACCATGATCTGATGAGGAAGGATTGGCAGCATCTGTTTAGGAAATTAGTCTTTTTCACTCTAATTTTATTCGTGGTTGACAGTTAACGGCTTACCCCCCTTTATTCTCTCAAGGAATTTGTCTCGGCTCTGCCGATTACTAAGATACAGAAATCCACTTACCCATTTTCCACATTAATTCTCTTCTTTTATAGGGAACTCTGGTGGCCTAGTCGTAAGCAGCAGAGCTGAAATCCCATACGCAAGCAGGTGAACCCACCGGCTGCTCCGTAGGATGTGGACAGCCGATCTCATCCTGTGGTTTTCTTTTTTAAAAGATTATTCATTCATTCATTCTTTTTATGTGTGTACCGTGAAATTGAATCTGACAGGTACAGGAGGTGATTGTCCCTCCTTCTTCAGCAGAGCATCTGGTGGATTTGAACCGCGCACCTCTGGGATTGCAGTGCAGTTTCCTGCCACTAAGCCACCAGAGCTCGCCTCATCCTGTGTTTTTCCAGCCTCTCAAAACCCAGTGGCGAATCAGCGATGAGTTGGTTTTGACTAGATGGCCAACAATAAGTCTCCTTTCCAAATGAACTTAAGTTCTGAAGAGCCTATTATGTGGTGAATGTGGTAAAGGTTTCACCCACAAATCTTACTTTAGAGCAGGTCAACGGATG